AAAATTAATTTGATCTTTATGAACTCAACCTCATTTAACCAAAGTTTACTGAATGATGTTAAATTATTATCAGTTATAAAACGCTGATGTAGACAGAAAAATCAAATGTAGACATGTAAATAAAAGCAAAGAATCGTCATATCTTAATATAGATTTAATATCTATTTTATGTAATGTGTACTTACATAAATGATATTTAATCTATAACAAAAGACAGCTATTTCTTTTCTATATTAGTTTTGTCTCATTATATAAAACATCCGAAAGCCATGCAACATATTTATAATAAATAAATGGATTTATCGTAAAGCAAAAAGAAATTGTATAAAAGAAAAATCTTATATTTTATAATTCATAAAAAATTGTTTAAATTGTCGCCTAACATACAGTAGTTACTTTTTAAATTCTAAATATATACGGTCAAGAACATTCTGTATTCATATGTGTATGTTTAAAGAGATGTGTGAAAACTAACAATGATATCTCAACGAATATCTCGTATCATAATGAATATTTAATATGTAAATACCTAAACTAAGGTCATGTTGCACGTGTTCACGAATTGATAGACGCATGGTCTGAAATCACGAATTAAATTCAAAAAGGTTTCATTAGTTTTTATACTTCAAAAAGGAAGTTTTCATTAGTTTTTATACTCAGAAAATATTAAAAAAAAAAATAGGAAGAATCTTTTTTTTACTATTTTTGCAAAGAATAATTTTCCACAGCCAAACACATTCGATACTAAACGACATAAGTTTAGTTATTACTATAAAAACTAGAAATACTAAATAGAATAAAAGGATAGAATAAAAGTTTAGTTTTCTTAAATAGATTCATTCAAACATCACTTTAGTTCTAAAAGAAAGTATATAAAACAAGAGAAAATAAATTTAAATTATTTTTTAAAAAATATTTAAAAAAATAAGAAAAATTTTTAAAGAAAATAAAATTTAAACTGTATAAACTAATTCAGACTCATGTTATAGATATTTTATTTAAACTGAAGTATATGATTTAATGTTAATAAATGAAATCAATATTGCTGAAAAACATACTATAAAAAGAAATTTCAAAAAATCGATAGAAAAAATCGATATATCGCTTTTTATTTTAGCAATTTGATATTTAAGACAAAAGACGCTTTTCCAAGATTTGTGACAAAATTAGGATCAGCAACGTTGTAAGACACAAAAATAGAAAACATGTGAATAGAAAACTACTTGGTAGGATAAGTTTTATCATATGTGTCACACATGCATAATGTGATAAAATATAAATGTCTTCCTAATCTTTTAAAAGGACTCTCGTACAGTCGCATTTTACCGATAAATACGGTGTAATTTTTTTGTAAGGAATTTGTTTACTCAGTTTATCTACCTGTTTTTCTTCATGTAAATGTTGTTTTTGTAGAAATGATCGAAACATTGTTAACGCTGCAATATTAATATATATATATATATATATATATATATATATATATATTCTTTTTTCAGTTCTGTCACTCAAAAGACAAGAAATTATATATCTCTATTTTACATGTCCTATTCCTCTTAAATTTTTTACTTCATACGCTGATATACAGTCACGGGAAGAGGCGGAGACGGGAAATAGACGTTGTTAGGTCACAACCTCTTGATAATAAAGCCTACCCTTCACGGGACAGTCAGATGCATGCATTTGAACGTCACAAATATGTCCGTTCTAATCTTTCCGCTATAGATACTAAAACATCCTAGGAAAGTTTCGATAAGTTTCACTTTCACAGTTTCTGCTTCTTCTTCTGGTGCGGGTAGAGGAGATCTCTATATCTCCCGCGTATCGCAAGTGGGTGATGACAGAGCCCTCGGCCCGGGAAGCGGACCATCTGTACGAATGGGCCAGCGTGCATAGGAAAGATTTGTAAGCGCGAGTGGGGAGCTGCACCAGCTGGAGAGCATAAAAGCACGCACGAAGAAAAGCGCAGACGCTTTTGTCGTGTTCGCCCGTGGCCGTCGATCGTGTCATCGACTGATTGTGCGAGAGTAGTGTTAAAGTAGTTTGCGGTACTCGGGGAGAGAAAGCCATGGGGCTCGCGAGGGCGGCCGTCTTCGCCGGCTGTCTCCTTCTCTTCCTGGCGGTCGACGCCTCAGGCAGTAAGTAAAGCGGAAAATGCGCCTCGTCGCTCGTTCCTCTTTGCAAAGTACTCCGGTACTTCACGGTACCCACCCTCTTGAGGGGCCTCTGGACGGCGGCCGTTGCATTCGCTCTTCTTTTTATTCTTCGATGATCACGAAAGCGTGAAAGTTACAGGACCGAAGTTATAAAACCGAAATACGTACTGACTTCTTTTCTCAAGTAAAAGAAAAAGAATTTCTTAGAATGAAAGATGTAATATGTATTAAAGAAGGAAGAGAGCTAAATAAATATATTGAATGCAGACTTGTATATAGAGATACAATACGATAGATTTCGTAGAAATTGTATCGATGGAAAAAATACAGAACTTTTGACTTTCCTCGACCTCGTAATTTTCATGCTTTTACACATCAATTTAAGATAGAAAATAGAACACTCAAATATATAGCCTCGACCTTCAAGATATTAGTTTCTAAGATAATTGATAAAAATAATGATAAATTAATCATTTAATTTAAGTTGATTAATAATTAAATAAAACAAGTTGTGTCATGTTTTCACATTTAACGTAATATTTAACACGTAATTATTTTAGTGGCAAAAATATAATTTCATTCTTTCGGATTGCTTTCGAACAATTTTATCTCGATATCAATTTCCATTTATAATATTTTATATACCCGCTGATATTTCAGGCATATTTCATGTTGTTACATTCAACGTAATATGATTACGATTAAAATTTTGCTATTCCTAAGGGAGCTTGTAAAACGGCATCTGTTTGTGTCTCGACGCACGAATACGAAATCTTCAACCATGTTCTCTCTCCTGTAGATCGTTCGAGAAGACCGGATGACTTCGATAAGTCTTAATTTTTCTATCAAATTAAAGATTAATGCGCGAGTGTTGATAGAAAGGGTCAACGTGCTCAGCGCGGTCAGGTTTGAATATCATAAGGTTACTTGCTGTGTCAAGGATAAAGATTATCGTCGCGAAATGGATGTCGAAATCGGTGATAATTTTGTGAGCCATAGGACCACGAAAGATCCGTGATTTCGCAGAACTTAATCCGCATTGTTCCATTGGCATTTATTACCGCGACGAACTAAAAATAAACAAAAGTATTTCTTTTTATGAATTTGTTCGTTGTAATGCGATTTACGAAAATTTATCTTTGATTCGTACTCACCGCGCCGTCATGTTTATTCAACATGATATTAGAGTCAGTTTTAATCTCCCGCGAGGGAGGGAAACGTGTCGTACTTATGTGCGAAATCTTTGCCTCTTTTCTCCTCTTTAACGACTATAATTCATTCAATGACACGACGTTATTTGCATTATCGATATATAATTTTCCATTCTACGCTAAATTACATTCCATTCTGGAATTTAATTAATGATCAAAGTCGACAATCCCGCGCGTGCTTTCTTTATGTTTGTAAATTAACTTTTTATAAAACTTTTTATCGGCGAGCGTGTTTAATGCTTTCTTATTACTGGAAGGAAGATTAAAGAAAATTGTTTTTTAGATTACACTGCCAAAGTAAAGAAAACGAACACCGGAGTCTTCTATTAACAAACAGGCGCGGAAACGTTTTACGTAGAATTACGTTGAAAAAAAATATGTTTAACGATCAGTGAAATAATTTGTGGAAAAATAGTTGTAGATATAAAAAAGATCAGTTCCTCAGTTTTCTGCAAAATTGCAACGTGTAAAAAAAAACGAATAAAATGAATAAAAAGCTCTCTTTAGTGAGCGCTTTTATTTCAATAAATAACGAAAAGGGTAAACCAACCATATGTATTAATTTGCGAATGTACTCTGCACTCGGGTATGAAACAAAAATGAACATACGGTTGGCTACAGATATTATAATCCTATCCAGACAGAAAACTGATGATAAAATATTGCTTATTCCTAGTAACTGTGATTTTATGTTTTCCTATTAATCGATACAAGGAACTCTATTGATAATTTTATCTTTTATTTCTTCCTTTGAGCGTTATATGCACTATTCAAGCTAATAATCTTATTATTAAAGATACGCGCATTAGCGCGTATTAATATATGTATATTGAAATAATTACATACATAGAATACGTAATGATCGTTTTATGCTATTTTTATAAAGATCTCTCTTTTGAATGCAAAATTCCCCGGCAATGCCGGGAAGTCACTTTCGAACTCATATTCCTATATTGAACGTAAAAACGTGAGAATTGTGAATATGTTTCCTTTCATTTCTTTCGCACGCGAGTAAATTATCGGCGAAAAAATAAACTCGGAAAATGAGGAGAGCTTCATAATCAATATCGCTCGTGGCGTGAATACGTAATCATATTTCTAAGTAATGAACGTGAGCAATTAACGAAGCCCGAAGGGAATGGAACTCGATCAGTGGCAGAAAGCGGAATTCCTTTGCACGTTCTACGAAGTAACGAAAGTAGTTAAAGAGTTCGCGTATGGCGTATCGGTGGTCGGAACGAGGTCTGTATCATTGAAACGATTACAGGTCCCCCGTGTTCGACCGGACATTTGGTAAATTGATCTGACGTCCCTACATCCCAGTAAAATAGATCCGATCCGACCGTTGCGACGTAACAAACGTTCTTTCACCGGCGCGTTTTAAAGTACGTAAAGGGAACATAAATGACACGGGTCGGACATTCTCTCTCCGCGGCTCTCTGTCTGTCTCTCTCCCCCCCCTCTCTCTCTCTCTCTCTCTCTCTCATATATATATATATATATATATATATATATAAAATGTCCGTGGTAGATTTCATATTGTCCATCTGTCGACGTTGTATTTATTCAGTCAACAAGATAATGTACGAAGAGCGTAATTACAAATTTAATTGGCGAATCACTATGTTCTATGTGCAATTTTTAGTTAGTTTAGCAATTTAGTTAGTTAATTTCTTCAAAAAAAGTTTATATAAATAATATTTTTCTAATATCAAATTATATCAAATATTCTCAAGTTATGCAATTTTGAATAAAATTTTATTAAAATAAAATCTATCTAGATTTAAAAAAAAGTAAATTTGTATCTGTAAAAAAAAAACTAAATCTAGTTTAAAAAATAATTTGCAAAATATAACGTTGCTCTTTTAATCGATTATATCTTTTCAAAATATCAATTATTCCAGTGGATATCTCATTTGTCGCTTGGAAAAACGTGTTTTTAAATCAAAGGATAAATAACATAGAAGAGCGGAAAATGAAAAGAGCAATCGAGAGAGATAAAAGTGCTAATACAATTTCAAACGAATTTCTTTGTTTTGTGCAATAAAACGTGAAATTCCAATTGTGACAGTTCGATAATAATACAAAGAAATATTTCGATGAATTTGTAGATTGTCATTAAAGTAACAACGGTTGAGAGAAAGAGATTGATCGTCGGTATTTGCAACATCATTGTCAGAGAAACAATATACATCTTCACTGAATAGATTCGTCCTTCTTTCTATTCTCGAAACCCTTTCCACCCTCTTCTCCTCATCTTTTCGCGCGCGTCGTTCTTTATCCCTTTGTTATTCCTTTATCCCATTGAAGGAACGTTTCCCCTTTCTCTCGTTGCACTTCATTTATCTCTTTTCTTCTTTATCTATTCAGTTGCTGTTATTTTATCTATCCTTTCCCTTACGTCATCATCATTTAAATAAAGTGCAATCTAGATATACCTATTTGCTCTCCTCGGTTGCAATATTTATAGAAAAAAATTAATTACTTTCCCGATTTATTCATAAAAAATTATGTTACATTTTTTCCATCACAACGAAAGGAAGATTAGTAGGGCCTCTTTGTATACGTACATGTTTCTAGCCGAATAATATAAAGTGTGAGGATTAGATTTAATTGTTTCCGCTGCGAAAGATTGAGCGCCACAACGGAAAACACTAATCGTCACATAACTCTTACAGATACAATTGTACAATTTATAAGTTGCTCTAGTTTTGTTTTCTCCTCCGTACACATTTTCAAAATAATAACGATTTGTGCCGATACAAATCGGTTATATTTAACGAGCAAATAATTATGCAACTCCTCTCAGTGCAAAGTGCAAATCTTGTTTCTGCTTGTTTTTCATTTCGATTAATCTTGATATGATATTGAGTAATATTTAGTTGGCTCATAATTTAAGGCCGTTAAGAGAAATTTATATTTATAAATTTTTTTCTCAACTTATATGTATGCAATACGTTAGACATTATTCATACAGAAAATTGAAAACTGATTTCATGTTGATCTATAGACAATTCTATAGACGTTTTAAGAAGTAGAATAATAATAAAATAAGTAGAATAAAATTTTGAAAGTGGTTAAAGAAATTAATGTGGAAATAAGTAGCAAATAAGACAACCGATTGTACAAATATATTAAAAATATTTACTAAATAGCAAATACAAATTTTGAAAAATTAATTTGTTTTAACGTGTTTATGGTTTTTAATATAATTCTTAATATAATTCTATTTAATATAATTCTTAAATACCGAAATTTTTAACATTAAACATTGTTAAAAGATATATAAATTAGACATCTAATAAAAAATTGATATTAATATTTTCGTTACGATAGATGCAGTTTGTGAACTTTAAACTTCCGCCATACTCACTTAATGACATCCGTTATTTCTTCATTATTGACCTAGTAATCTTTTCTCGAAAATAAATTAATACGAAAATCATATCGCTAATGAGACATATCAATTTTGACACTTTTAATAAAACACAATTTACTTATCTTATTTAGTAAAATTATATAATCAGTGTTTCGTAAAAAATATGACTTTCGTCAGCGTATGCTGTGTCAACTGTTATATATTTATGTCATGTTTTCTACGTGTTTGTGCTCCCTATGAATTTGCCATCGATGTTTTCCAAATGTAAGCAAGATAAAATGAAATCAGAGATAAAGGCTAGTATGCAAAACAAATATATATTAACATTAAATACTCATTAATAATTCTTCATAATATGTAATATAAAATTAATGTATTTAATATTGTATTATAATAAATTGCATGATTTATCAAATGTCTGACGCTTGAAAAATATTGAATGTTAAACGTATATTTAAAAGTCAAGCGCTGTAACAATCGATATAACCGACCCGACGTAATAAATAGTTCTTTTTATACAATTTACTTTTTCATACAATTTAAAACTCACACAAATTGAAAGATTCGGTAGACTGAGAAAGGAACGTAATACAAATGCCAAATTATTACAGGTACTGCAATTGATTGATACGTTACCTTTTGTAGCTCCCACTCGAAAAGTTACTTCGTTCGAATCAATTTAAATGTTAAAAGGTGAAACTATTGTAGTATACCATTAAACCCATTGGTCCGCGAGTACACGCTCTATCGAACAAAAATAAAAGTTCCATGGTCCAGGGTCAAGAAAGTCACGATTAAGCACGTTATCAACATTCGACCCTAGCAGCGAGTTCATATGATGCATAAATATATTTTTTTCGACGTAATCTGCGTCAAACATAATAATAGATTAAGGCCCGTCTGTTTTTTTCTCCATTCGAGTTCGTGTTTTAATGAAATCCGAAAATTAATATTAAGTTAATACGAAGAAATTTTTATTAATTTCTTTTTGTCATTCTTTACTACATCTCTGGCCTGTAATAAAAAAAAAGGGAGAAATAATTCGTCATCTTTCATTTTTCTTATTATAATTTTTGTTACATTAATAATATATATATATATTTAATACTAGATACGTATATTTTAAAAATTATTGCTAGCAATTGACATTTTCTTTTTATTACAGGCAAATGTACAGTCGGCTGCCGTGGAAGTAAGTATAAGATTCATTTCAAAAAGAAAAATCTTTAATTTGAAATTATTTTCGAAAAATTTTGTAAATTAAAATTGACTTAGACTAGATTTTTACATATAATCAAATGGTCTTATGATCGATTTAATTTATGCATCTCTCGCGTGATTTCTTTTTTAGTGCAAGGAGGTAAAGGCTATGAAGAAGGGCACACATATATATACGATTTGGAAGGAACGTCTGTAACATCGGTCCCTAATGCTCAGGGTGATGCTACTTTGAAATTGAAGGGTACTGTTGAGTTGTCGGTCAAACCTGACTGCATTCGGCAGGTCCGATTAAAAGGCGTATCAATTAATGGAGCCGTAAGTATTTTTTAGCTGATATCATCTCTCTAAAATATTCGTGCCATTTGCGTCATAAAGACTAAATATACATGGAAGCAGGAATATAGAATGGAGTAGAAATGAGGCCCAGAGGGGTGATTTCAACCTTTTCAGAAATATTAAGAAACTTTTAATCTAATTTCACTTAATAAATTCCCGTAAGAAACGCTTTTAATTAACTATTCTTAACGGAAATTAATGTAATGGTTTATATGATTTGTGTTCAATTACTACAATGTGGGCGGAGAATTTACTGTCACCAGTAAATGTTGAATTATTAAATTAGCTTTCATAATATAAATACTTTATTTTCCTTTCCGCTCTATATAAATTACGAATATAGCAGACACTTGTAATATTTTTTCATGTACTACGAAATGTGTACACGTTTATCAAGTAAAAATAAATAAATATATGTAATAAATATATATAAATAAAAAATAATGTATGTTATTTTTTAGCCAATATTATTGTCAGATATTGAAAAATACGCGTTGCAATTCAACTATCACAATGGCCATATAGATACGGAAGTTTGTACCGAAACCGGTGACTCACAGGCGTCTCTCAATATCAAGAGAGCGGTCGCTTCCCTATTTCAATCAGCTGTTATACAAGAATCTGGGTCTACAACTCATCATGAGGTATCATCTTGATTCGCGTTGAAATTTCAGTAGAGGAATGCCGATATAATAACAGATATTGTCTGTTTATATTGTTAGGTCGACGTGTTCGGTGGCTGTCCGACTGACTTTACCTTCCACAAGGATGGCGACTCGTTGGTGATACAGAAGGAGAGAAATCTGATCCGTTGCTCCCATCGCGAGAGCATCAGAAACAGTCCCGTGTCCGCGATCTACGATCAGAAATCTGACATTCAATCTGCCCCGTTGCTGTCGTCGCGCCAGACGATCGAACAACGTTTCAAACGCGGTATTCTGAACAAAGCAACTTCGGTCGAGACGTACAAATTGAAACCTTGGAGCAACGGAGACATCAGCGCTAAGACGATTGTGCAAACCACTCTGACGCTCAAGGGTGAAAAGGGTGACAGCCCGAATGCTCCGGTTTCCCAACCGAAATCTCTGATCTTCGAAGCGCCGCATTCCGTCGTTAAATCGTCGGTCGACAGTATCACCGCGGCTATAAAGGCAGCGAGCGCCGAGGAACACGACGGTGTGAAACATGACGCGGCGGAGAAGTTTGCAAAACTCGTTAAGATTCTTCGTCTCAGCAGCAAAAATGATATCATCGCAATCTATCAAAAGGTAAAAAACGGCAACGGTTTCGACAAAGTCTTGGACAAGAAAATCTTTATGGATGCCCTTATGGATACCGGAACGGGCGAGGCCGCGGAGGTAGCCGTGAACCTGCTGAAGAGTCACGAGCTTACCAGCACCCAGGCTCTCATGTTTTATGCTAATCTCGCTCTCGTCAATCATGTGAACTTACCGTCGGTAAGTGTCGTCACTTCTCTCCTTGATCAGCCAGACTTACCGCGTCTTGGCTATCTTGGAGTCGGTCAAGTGATCGGCAAGTACTGCCAAGAACACACTTGCGAGAACGTAGCTGAAGTCAAGCAGGCCGTTCATAAAATTCGCGAAAAGGTCGGCAATGGAAAGGCGAAAACCAGAGAGCAAGAGAACCTCGTAGTCTCAGCTCTGAAAGCACTTGGTAATACCAAATATCTCGACGATGCCACACTGCAGAAACTGGCCGGTATCGCTGAGGACAAGAATGTTCGGAATCGAGTCAGAGTTGCCGCGATCGAGACTCTGCCTACTCGCTGCACCATGAAATGGAAAAATATTCTTTTGAAAATCCTGGCCGATCGCGAAGAGGACAGTGAGATCAGAATTAAATCCTACTTATCTTTGGTTGCTTGCCCTTGCCAGCATGTTGCCAGCGGTCTTAAAGATGTTTTGGACAAAGAAACTATCAATCAGGTAGGATCTTTCATCCAGAGTCATTTGCGTAATCTACGAGCATCCGTCGATCCGAACAAAGCTGAAGCGAAGAGGCATCTCGGTCAGATCAAACCTCGAACCAAATTCCCAGAGGACTTCCGCAAATTTTCCTTCAACAATGAATTATCGTACAACATGGGTGGTATCGGAATCGGTGATTCCATAGAGAGCAACGTCATCTACAGCCAGAATAGCTTTGTACCACGTTCCATCAATCTAAATCTGACCTCTGAGGTATTTGGAAGATCTTTCAATTTCTTGGAACTCAACACGCGCATCGAGAACCTCGATAGATTGCTCGAATACTACTTTGGACCCAAAGGCCGCTTGACACAGGATGAGATGGAAGATTTAGTAGAGAAAGGAGCACATAAGGTAGAGAATATTGCTCAATACATCAAACAGAAGGTTAATAAATTGCGCGGCAAGCGTGAAGTTAAACAGGGAGAACTCGACAAATTCGCCAAAGGTGTGAAATTAAGGAACAATGAGGTAGATCAGCAACTTGACATAGACCTGTCCGTCAAGCTGTTTGGCGTCGAAATGGCCTACCTGACCTACGACGGAAATCCTACACAGTTCACGCCGGAACGTATCATCGATAAGATATTTGACGACCTCGAGGGCGGATTCAACAAGTTGAAGAACTTCGACAACAATTGGCAGAATCACATGCAGTTCCTCGAAGCGGAGGTCGTTTATCCGACTAATCTCGGTATGTCTCTTTCTCTCAACGTGGTCGGCACCAGCGTGGTTCATATCAAAACATACGGGAGGGTGGATATTCCGGCTATCTTAAAGAACCCGGACAGCGCTGATGTACGATTTGGCTTGGAGCCCAGTGCTTCTATTCGTATTGCCGGTAATATGGTCGTTAAAGGATTTGATATCGAGACCGGTATGAAGATTGTCAGTACGTTACACACTGATACAGCGTCGGATGTGACAGTGAAATTGTTGGATGGCAAAGGTATCGATATAGTCATTGGCATGCCAAAGAAAAAGGAATTTATAAGCGTTAGTAGTGAGATTTTGCTAAGTTCTGGTAATACGTATAAGGCTCCCAAATTTGGTAAAAGCAAGGTATACAAAGACTGCTTCGAACAACTCGCTCCTATTTTGGGTATAACAGTTTGTGGTCACGTGGAATTCCCCTATGATGGCATCGAATCGGTGCAGAAGAGAGCTTTCTTCCCTCTAAATGGTCCATCGAAATTCAGTATTAATTATGAGAACAATGATCTGCCGAGTATTCATCTCAAAATCTATCACGACAAAACACCCAACTCTAGATCGTTTGAACTTTTGATAGAGACGCCTAACAGCAAAACCAACAGACGTATATCTTTGAACGCCGAAGCAGGTCTCGAGCCCAATAAACATCTCAAACTGTCTTTCGATTCTCCCTTCAAGAAAGCCTCCGTTGAAGCAGTTCTAAAGATTGAGCCTCAAGAGCACACACTCACAGTCACCGTACACAATGATAACCAGGAATACTTCGCGCGCACTGGTCTCTTGGTCAACGGTGCTAAATACAAGCCAATTTTGGAATACAAAGTACCAGAACACATCGAGAAATTGGCAAGTGCCAAATCTGGATTGAAATCGTCCAATCACGGCGGCCAGCAGTATCAGATGCAAGGTACCGTAGAACTACTCGATCATGACGGTGGCAAAAAGTATGTTTTCGACAAGGTAGCTCTCGTCGCGAGCGGCCAAACACTTGCCAGTCTCGATGGTTACGTTCATTCTGCAAAAGATGCTGTCGACCTGGACATGAAAGTGAATTATGGTGACGAATCTGTCGCTCTTAAATTGCAAGCGAAGAGGAAAGAGGATCATTACCTCTCGGTCAGTGTCTCGGCATTGCCGTCGAAGGATCCCAATATCGGTTTCAACATCCAGTCTGAAATTGAAAAGGAAATGTACGCGTACAAATACAATCTGGTCTTCATCCACGGTCCAGATCCGAATTCCAAGATAAACCGTTTCAGTCTTGAACATCACGCCATCACCAAACCGAATACGAATGGGCTGAACTTCGTCGTGGGTGCATCTACCAAAATCTCATATCCCGCCATGAAGTTCAAACTGGATCTCGTAGGTAAGGTAAGGCCCACTTCTATCGAAAGCGAGATCGGCCTGACTTACGATAAGTTCAAGTTTGGTTCGAAGCTGTCCGCCGAACGAGACATGAAGAAGGTGGGCGATTACGAAGTCGAATTCGAAGGCGAACTTCTGCAGAATAGTATCAAATTGGAGTCCAAGCGTACAATTATTGATCCACACAAGAGCAAATACAAGAACAAGCTCGAGCTTGTACCAGGTGGCAAATACGAAGCCGACGCACTGGTCACATACAATTGCGACAAGAGTAATAAAAATATAAACATTGAACTAGATAGCGATCTGAAGATAAATGACAAGAAGATCAAAGTCTTCGGCAATTTGAAAGCCGAACGTCCGAATAACGTTCAGTCAAACGCGTACGTCACCGCCAACGATGTCAAGTATCTCGACTTCCAGCTTAAATTGCAACAACAGGGCAAATATCCTCAGGGTAATCTGAATTTGGACATGAAGAACTATCTTAATGTCGTAGGAGAGATGTCAGTCCGGAACGGCAAAGGTAATGCGCAGCTCTACATTGACTTGCCGAAGATCAACCGGAAGATCAAAGGAACTGGCGATATGATGATTACCGACACACAACACAATGCGGACTTCGAGCTGTTGTTCGATGCAGAGAAAGACCCAAATAAACGTATCAAATTGTCCACCAAAAACGATATAAAGAAGAATGCTATAGACTCGAAAAACGTGATCGAGCTGATGAAACATAAGTTAGAACTGAATGGCAAGGGTAAATTAGATGGTACTCTCAAAGAGGGTGAACTGACCCTTGAGGGAGACATTACTCTGCCGAAGGGTCGTTATTTGACTGCTAACTTCAAACGTATATCCAAAAAGAATGATAAAAACAAGTATGATGTGCATCTAAGTGGCGAGCTTGCGGACCATGAATCTAAGGGCGGTAAATCGCGAAAACTCACGTATGTTGAGGACACTAATGACTTCGACTTCAAAACAAACACGTTCGACACCAACTTTCAAGCAAATTTCATCAACTACGACGGTAATAGTGAACAGCTTGAGTTGAAGGTCAAGAATCTCCAGAACACTGACGGTCATAAGGAAGTACAAGGGATCTTCCTGAATCTGTCAGGATCGCGTACTCCACGACCATTCAATCTGCAATACGAATGTACCGAAAATGATAACGGCGAGATTTCATACAAAGGTGCTTCTTCCTTTGGAAAAGATTTCCAACTCAAGGTAAGCGTAATAAAATATTTTCTGATCTTTTCTCCCATCGTACATGCACGACTAGTGTCCACTAGGTTTGTAAATCTACGTTATCGTTTACAGAGTTCCGGAAACTTTGTTCCCGGCAACGACATTGACAAGCCCTGCACGTACAAAGGCAACACGGAGTTGATATTGCCATCCGAGAAGTTGCGTAACATCAAGCTCGACTACACAGACAGTCTGCTGATCCAGCAACAGAGCGATGGTATTATCGATTACAAGGGATCAGTGGCGATCGTTTACAACGATGATAAATCTGCCAAGATCGATAAAGCTGTCAAGATATCCGGTATTGGCGACGGCGAGCATCTTTACGAGTACGATCTGCAGCTCAATATGGTTATTCTCAATTATCCACCTATCAGTATCCAGGATCACTTCAAATACGAACCCACCAGCGACAAGGTGACGGTCACTTACAACACGATCCTCAAGTACGATCAGAAGGAGCTAACCCTCTCGCTCAACCCCGTCACGTATGATCACGATTTGACGCACATTGACGTAAAGGCCAAGGTCACCACCCCATACGAAAAGCTGCATAATATCGACCTTGAACTCAAGCATGAGGTACCGTTTTTACAATGCTGTTAATTATTTCTTCGTATCTAGAAATTTCTCAGTTAAGTTTTAAATCGAGATCTTTCGCGTCTCATTGATTAACGTTCCGTTAACCGAACCTGTGCAAATAACTCGGGATTATTCTGGTCGTATATTGCTCCATCTAATACTCCGCGTTGCGCCATTTATAATAGTTTACTGCTTTACAACGTATATACAGCGTGCTGTTCAAAGACGAAATAAAGTTTACGTGTACCCTACGAGATTGCCGCAGGATGACACTAACTATCTATCACGCGCATCTAATTTTCCATTTTCTATTTATCTTTGAAGAGAGAAAATGACGGGCACGTAAGGAAGACCGACGCGGCCTTGACCGTCGACGATGGAAAGTACACGCTCAAGAGTGAAATTCGAGACGGCGGTGTTTCTCCGCTGATGCACATAATTTTCACTAGCCCAAAAGGAAAGACCGAGCTACTCTCGAAATTCGAGAAACTTGGCGAGCAGGAGTACACAGGTAATTTTATTCAAATTCAAGCAAAGATCTTCTGGTTTATTTTACACCTCCTTTTCCGAACAATATAATATAATTTAATATTTGTTTATACTGTATATATTTTCATTTAAAAAAATTAAATTTCCCGTTCGTTCCTTCGATACTTATAATGAATTCGCACGTTCATTTTCAGGCGAATGGAAGATTGAGACGCCAAAGGGCTTCGCCGTTGCCGACGCGCACGTCAATCTAGATAGCATCGACAATTTCGTTATTAACGTTAATTTGGACAGCGACAAGCTCAAGCATCGTAAGATTCACGCCGAAATCGCTAACAGACCCACCGCCAAAACCGGCAGACGAATAATTATCATCGTCACCAGCGACGGCAAGAACATCGTGACCGGAAGGTATGTAAGAAAAATCCGAAACAATCCGAAACAATAATTGTGCCGTATACTTAATATTAGTAAATGTGGCTAATAGTGACTCAAGCGAGAAAACAATTTATATAAACGCGCGAAGACGAGGTCACGTTTGAAACGCAGGAAGTCTGCAATTCGTTTTCTCGACACTCCTGACTCCCATTAGCGAATCCTGTACGTTCCATCGCTTCTGTTAAGGCTGATATTCCCGCAGTAATTCTAAATGGTATTTTCTGATGGCGGCGTGGATACACACCTCTTGTACGTACGTAAAAGAGGTAAAAGATCGATCGCCTACACGCGGCGACAAGCAAAGAGTAAAAGATGTCCTCAAGTAATTAACGAAAGGCCACGAGGTCATTTTCAAAAGAGATACGATCAGAGATACGAACAGGAGCCGTATCTCACCGTTCTTCACCTCGCCGTGTAATTTCATCGATTCACCCGCTAAAATTAATTCAAGCGGTTTCCTAGAATACATTTCGACTTCGCCAGTTCTTTTTATTCGTCTCATCGAAATCGCCTCGATCGAATCGTAAAAAATGTAAAAAAGGAGTTAAGCGGTTCCACCGAAAAAGTAGAATATAATTGTCGATCATACGATCTTACAACAAGACATTTCTATCGTCCAATAAAAATATCAATCTACCTATCTTTCGAACAAAAGAATAAACGATAAAAATGGAAGTGTCGCTGGTTATTTGGTTCTTGACAGAGAATACATAGTATTAGCAATTTATTTCATATTCTGTCAATATATTTTTTTCGCAATGAACAACAGAATATTTTGCAAAGAGCAATTACGAGATACTAAAGCGAAGTAACGTAACAAATCAATAATACCTAATAATTCAGTATAATTATAATAATACAAATGATAATAAAAAGAAAAAAAAAAAAAAAGACAAATGTATATTTAAGTTAAGATTGTCATTTGTTCTCAGCACGAACTACAAGAAACGCGACGAAGCCGGCAAAATCACCATTGAGGGAAGCGGCAATCTCAAGGTAGGCGAGAACACGAGGAGTTCCTCCTTTACGTATACTCGCCAGCGATTGACTCGCGAGAAGGATGGCGAAAATGGCGTGGTAATCGTCCTGAACGCCAAGTTCGATCCAGCGGCTATTGTGGGCGAGCTGAAGCTCTCGAATAAGGAGCTCCTCATTTTCAATAGTTATTGCGAGCAAAGCAAGGATTGCGCTCACTTCAAGCTTCAATCGAACTTCGACACGGACAGTAAGTCAAATTTCGTGCCATATTGATATCTTCTCTCGTAAAGAAGATTACAGCCATCGTGCCGAGAAAGACATGTGCAATTGTCCCGCATGTGCAATTATGTGACAATTATCCCGAATGTTTATCAAACAAGATTGGAAATTTAAGTTCGCAGTCATTAGGCAAATACTTCGCTTCTTTTTTCATTTCTTCTTACAAACTTGCATCTTGCAATATTTCTCTTTCTTTTTTCTTTTTTTTTTTTTCTAAATTCTCTTTTCCACTGTTTCTATCTTCTTAGCAATCTAAATCTGGAAAATCGAAAGCCATAGGAAATTTATAGTCCTGTATAGTGAAGTAAAGCAACAATATGTTATTATTACAATAATGCTATTGTATAGTAATACTATAATAATAATGCTATCGCAATAATGCTGTTAGGTAAATATAATATATATTAATAATATATATTAATAATATGTTTCTCTTAGCGTGCTCTCTCCCGTTTAATTTTGATGAAATGAAAATTACAACGTAAGCTCAACAATATACCGTAATAAAAAAGCGTTTCATAAATAAAGGACGGTAAGTAAGGCGCTCCTGGAAATACGCTTTGCGTGTCGGGCCGGTCTTTTAAAAGCTTTACGCCTTGTCGCGACAGACCTGAATTTGTAAAAATATATAAAAAAAAAAGAAGGTACACACGCGGAGACCGTACGACAATAATAAACCCTTGCGATTGCGCAAGATAAACGATATCGCCGGCGATCTCTCAGGAAATCATCCTTGCTATAGCCTCCGTCCATATACGCAGGTTCGTCGCATTCATTGGATAATTAAAGAAATTCCCTCCAGTAGACCGACCATCGACATGCGTAGATATACCATTATTGTTCTCTCTTTGTCTCCGTCTCGTGCGTGTTTCGCAATACATCGCAATCCTCGTGCACGTACGTACGCACGTGCACACGTATATACGATGGAATTTCGCAGGGGAGGATACAAGGCCTGCTACCCCCTTATTTCGTAGAGCCTACCCGCGGATCCCGGTCGATAGGTGTTCTATTCTCGCGTGATCTGCGCCTAATTCGTGCCTCGCCTCAGTTATTAATAGAGAACCTGGAATTGCATCCCTATGCGCGACGACGTTGCGACTGGTGGTGTTGCGGTGGTGGTGTTGCGGTGGTGGCGGAGGACGGGTGCACAAGCGACGGCGGCGTGCCGCTGCATTAACTCGAGTGCACATTTCATTCTTTTTTCTTTTTTTTTTTCTTTCTCTTTTCTCTTCCTTTCTCGTTTTTCTTGTCCCTTTTTCTCCTCCTCGATGAGATCGCGTCGCGAAGATCGCGATGCGAGAAGACAGGCGTGACCACCGCGGGTGGCGGCGGAGTTACACGGGACGATATACAAGGAAAAAAAAAAAAAAGAAGTTATCCGACGGTGCGGAATGACGTCACGCCACAAGGGCGTGTGCTCCGCTGACGTACACGCGTCTTAATCCTTTCTAGCACCGCGATGACGTGTAGCGCGATAAAGTTTACTTCGTTTTATTTTTTTTTCTCACCCCTACTTTGCCCTCCCTCGGGATCAATTTGGCCTGTCGGGCCTCAAGAGTTCGCGGAAATTTTATTTCCGCGATTAAAATCGAGCGAGGGGGAGGGGGGCTGCCTACATGTAAATGGGGCAGCGAGTTTCCAATGACAGCATTAATACGTTATGATCCTTTTACAATTGCCCAATAGTATCCTGTAAAATGTATGCTAATTGTTCTCTCACGATGTTATCACAATTATCAACTTTATCTCTGAAATGTCATTGCATTGTCTAATTTGTCTAATGGTCTCGATTATCTCTAATTTCGTTTGATAATAATTTCATAATATGTGACACTCCTTAAAAACTGTTATTACTACTTAATTACTATAACTTAATAGAAAATAAAATAGAAAAAAAATATATGACAAGTGTTACAAGGGATTATTTATTAGAATTCACTTCCGTCATTTCTCATTTTCACAGAGACAATTTTCATAATATACATATTTTCATTTCACAGACAAGAATTACCTGAATCATCAAATAACAGTGGAAGTAGACCTAAAGAAATTCAATGTGCCAGCCGAATTTGGATTGAGGACAAGCACTGAACTCAAAGATTCCAAATTTGATCATTCTGCCAACTTGTACTTGCACTCGTCGAAAGACAAGTCCCAGTATTCTTACAAAGTCTACGTTCATCCTAAGGAAAGCGGTACGAAAATTCTATTTCGCTATTAATAATCCTTATCTATTGAAACAATGTATATCACGATTACGCAATATTACTGTACCTCAATATTGTCCATCAGATTGAAAAGTTAAAAAAACGCTTTTCCTTTCATAGCTGCCATTTTGACTTTGCCTAACCGTGAACTGGCCGTTATTGGCACATTCGATTTGCCGAAGACGAAGCAAACTGGAGCGTTCAAAGTCGATGTTTCCGTTTACTTGGACAGAAAGAACAAGCCATCCGACAAGACCGGTGTGATCGCCACTGGCGATGTTAATATCGAGAAGGACAGCGGATCTATTAATGGAGAAATCAAATTCATATATCCGTCTCAGCCAAAGGTACATCGCCGGATATATTCTTAGCGAGAGATTTCTAAATTTATAGGGAACGGTAAAAATAAATTACATTGAATGACGTATTTGAGCGAACAAAAATTTAACTAAAAAAGCATTTCCAATTTCTGCGCGAATAAGGTCAAAGCTTTTATATAAGCGAGAGAGAGAGAGAGAGAGAGAGAGAGAGAGAGAGAGAGAGAGAGAGAGAGAGAGA